CTTGAAAACCCTTTGAAAGTAGAATTTGAGACACACAGCTGCTGTCTGCACAAAATTCAACATACTTAATCATTTAGCTGTAAAGCTGTCAAATACTCAGTTGTAATATTAATACAGAACATAACCTAAGACATTAGAGACTATCTTTACAAAGTCCCATGCAAATTAATTAACGGACTCAACCACACATGAACGATATGTTGATTTATGAGTCACAGAAAGGACTAGATTGACTAACACTTGCAATTCCACTCAACCAGTTATACATTAGGGCTTATACTCAGTTGGCTGCAATATCTATAAAATACTCTTACAACTCACAGGAAACTGAAGCAGAACAAACTGAAATTAAAAGGGAATTCGGGATACTACCAAAAAACCAGATTCGTATCAGGGACAAAAACAATTTACCAAAGAGATGAAACAGAAGTAATGGTAAGTTGATCACTTCACAGGACTCACCTACAAGCAGTCGAGAAACAATCGTCAGACGTAGAACTAGCAGTGAACACTGACCCTCTGACAAAAGCAGAAGTGTTGAAGTTGAAGATGTCAGTATGAGTTGGAGAAGCAGAAGAACCGAACAAAATCCTCCCAAAAGCACTGAAAACAGATCCAGAGACTTCAGTGTATTTGGCCAAACAACTATCTCAGAGGGTTCGGTAAAACTAAGATTTTCTTGTCGAATTTCTAAAGGGAGTGACATTAGCCTACGCAAGAACTAGTACGCAATCATGCTTCTATCCACTTCAAGCAAACTACTAAGCCACATCCTTGTGGAAAAACTAAAGGGATTTCGTGGATTTAAGACAACTCACAACAGGTTGGATTCAAAGAGCCCGACCGACAGCCACTACCTTAACGTGGTGATCAGGCTTGCATGTCACAATAACTCAACAAGCCACACTGGCTGGAACTACTGCTTCTGCAGATCCTGCTACGTCACAGAGCTCATTTGGATAGCGGTTAGAATGAAAGCAGTTACCACCACATTATAAATCGATGACACTATGTTTGGGGTCCGGCGGCGAATTTTCACTGCTGGTGAATAGGGATGTAATAGGAGTAAGGTGTTTCTGTATGCTGCGTCTCCACTTTAAAAAGGGGGTTAAAAAATATCGACCCATGAAATTGTATATCATAACTTATCTAGTGGCCGCTATTGGGCGAGAGTAATATTTTATTGAGGACACAATATCGAAAACTAACTCAAGCAGGCCATGTGTGACTGGCCTCAAGCAGTTGTCCCTAGGGTTCTGTGGTCACGCAAATGTAATACTTCTCTGCTAGGTGCCGCGGAAAAAGTCAACCCCCACGGTGTGGTTAACCTGGAACCAATGACCACCAACACACTTCGTGATCACCAGTCAGCTTCATCCTCTTGCTTCTGCTCCACTGTTAATACTATTTTACGGGTAGATCCATCTCCTCCTCTATAACTATTAGTATCGATGACAGTTTGAAAACTACTACTGATGGTCTCTTAAAACCATACTATCATCTTCATATCAGTGCTTTCAATGTTAGAACCCTTCGCCAAATTGAAAAACAGGAAAACCAAAACTGTGGCCTCTCGAGTCATGGATGTATGCCGTGTTTCATAGACATGCATACACATGGAGGAGTGGTTATTCTCTCAACCCTACTTATGTGACAAGACAAAACTGCTAAATTTACCTTACCGAGGTCAATAGGTGCTTCCACTAGGACACGAGGAATTACTGGTGTAGGAATAGCATTGAGCTCTATTGCTGAAAAATCTCTGCTTCACTGGATCCCAATGGATAGTCGTGTGGTGTTCAGGTGAACTCAGGAGAAAGAGAGACCCATTGATATCTTTTCGCAATCTTCACTTATGCCCCAACCAACGGCAGTTCCAACGAAGTATAGAATGAGCTCTGTCAAAAGCTATCCAGTTTGGTGCTTAGAGTAAAACGCCCAGATAAATTCACTTCAGCAGGTCGGTTCACTACTCAAGTAGGGAAGCTGTGCAAGTAAGAAAAGTATACTGGAGGCACTTATAGAGTCCCACACCGACGAATTGACAACAGTGATCATCTCTTACAGTTCTTTTCAGATAATCATAGGTTTTAACTCCAAACATAAGAGACATCGTCTAACTTGGAGACTCCCATCACTTAATCACTGATACAAGCAAATAGATTACGTAGCTATTAGCGATTGATGAAAAGGATCGGTCGAAGATTGCGGCTCCCTCCGTGCATGCATTTGCTTAAGACTCGGCGGATACTGAAGGCAGACAGTTATGAATCCACTATGTCCCCAACTTGATGAGAACTCGAAGTCTTTGTTTAAGGCAGAAACAACTAAACGCGTATCTGGGACATACAGCAAAACTCATCCTGAAGAAGACAGGCATTATATCCAGTCAGCTTTAGAAATAAACGCAAAGGCTGTTGATAACCTGGAAACAAACGTCAGTGAATGCCAGCGGATTTATGATGCTTCATCCGAACTAATACATGTAAGAAGACTGATTCCAGCGTGCTCTGAACGTGATGAGGAGGGGAAGCTGCTCAAACACAAGTTTTTCAAAAGTCTCTGCAGTGACAGTGGTGAGAGATACAAGTCAGAGAGACGGAAGTGGTATCTGAGGAAGGTAACATCAGACAACTATTTAGGCGCATTTGGAAAACAGGATATACATGCAACCAAATACAGCTTCTGATATAATTTTCAATTGCATTACTGGCCATTTGTATTCTCATATTCATGGATTAACAACTTCAGAACCTGAGGAAAAAGTTATAGAAAACACACGTTCGCTAAAAATTATCTTGTTCTGATTGCACTGTGGGGATTTTTAATTTACAGAAATCTTGATATATCTGGCATGCCATTCGTCTCTGTCAAATGTAAGATAATGATGCAGAATGTTCAGCACTGAAATTCATGTTAAAGATGGGGATTGATCATTTCGCTTTCTTGGGAAGTTGTATTAGCCCTTATGAACTAAGGACTGGTGAAATTTCAGTACTGATTCGAACTGCTAGTGTGGCACTTCCCAAATTTCGTCATTTCTGGTGTGGACGTCAAATTTGGCTGCCGATCAAAGGACGCGCGTATTGGGCAGCAGTTAACTCTGCCTCTGTTTATGGCTCTAACACAGGACCACTGAAAGTGGACAACCTGGAGAGGCTAGATATTTGGATTCCATCTCTTATGTTAAGTGATGCTATATGGTAAATAATATTAAAGTTAGGCGTAGAGTGTAAGGTATGGAGGGAAGTCAGTCGATGAAGTTGTGAAGCTGAAATGATTGAGATGGCTAGTACACTTGTTATGTATACCAAGCCATCACCTTCCTCTACCCATGTTATTCAATAAGAGTTAAAGGTGATAATTTCAAAATGTGTCGGTCGTTTAGCGATAGGATGCTCGCAAGCACTAACGTAGTTCTGAGTTTGACCCCCAGCCGACGCATTCTTAAGGCTCGATTATCAGCAGTCAGCTTTTAAGGGGTGAACATCAAAATTCCTAAGAATTGCTTCCAAATACCAATACGGCTAAACTAGGATAAGATTTATTCATCGAGAAATTAGTTCACCAGCTATGCGTTCAAAGCACTGAGAAGTCACCCTTACCCAAACTTCCAGCTAACACCTCGAATACAGTATGTCCTATATGCGCTCTTGTATTTACAAATATGCAAATCATTCATTAGGTACATGTCGTAATCATTTTTAAATGTGAAAGAAGAATATAGCATTGCATGCTTTTATCGTCTTAACATCAATTGATTGTATTAGTTGGAAATCATTGAGCACTGAATTACAACCCACTGATGGAGAGTGGTAACCGATTCACTATGAGTCTTCTTCCATGGTCGATGATTCCATCCCACACTGGGTTTGTGAATGCACACTACTGATGAGTTCATGACTGCAGGGAAAGAGCTGTTCAGTACGTGACTATTCTAATGCCTAATTGTAGCAAACACACACTCACTGAGGTGGTGAATAAATATTTTTAAGGCTTAACGAGACTGTTTAGCTAGAAACTGTAGTGATCTCAGTAGTAATGTACTGTCTGAGAATGCAGACGAGTGAGGGTCGTCGAATTCTTCTCCCCACCCATACTGAACAAATTGACCTGGTTTCTGTGTTAATCTGCAAGATTAGAATTTGAATGACTGTGTGCAAAGCTAACAGTTTTCTCGTCAATTGGAGATGACTACTGATTTTCGCTGCAAGTGAGTAGTCTATGTGGTGTGACGTAATTAGTTTGAGGATGGTGATTGATGCTCATGCATCTCTTTCTCTTTATGATTGGACTCCGTCCACCCTGGACACTAGTCTCAGTCTGGTATTTCCAACAGGTCTTTTTCCTGGTTCTTGTCTCCTCGTTGTTTTATGGTCTACCTTTCCCAGTCATTTACAAGAACTTTCAATAATTTTCAAGTTCCCTCAATGAAGATGGAAGGAATTATTAGAAGAAGTATTTTATGATGAGGAAGTGTTAACCATTCGTCTGTCTTCTTGTGGCGGTCACACAGAATTCTGAAGTTGAGTCTAGCTTCAGTGTTGGACTTGTTTACGTGGACATATCAAAGTGTACTGACTTATCTACTCGATAACATATAGGGCGAGAATTGTGTATAAGTGTTTCACGTCAAGCAATTAACTTCAGTGAGCGATTTCATTTTATCACATGCGTGCGCTTACACACACACACACACACACTCACTCACCATAAGATACAAATTTGTTTACTTGAAATGTATCTAATTGTCAGTGTTGTATGAAGTGAAGACAGAGGTTGAGTAGGTAGTCCAAAACTTGACTAGTTTATTGTAACGGTGTTCACCACTCGTCACTTTATGTGGGGAGCCATCTGATCTAAGAGTTTTGATTGACTCCACAACCTCAAAGTGGTGGAATAACCGAAATATGTGTGAGCCTGTCGAAAAATGTGAAGATCCCTCGCGCAAATGTCTGTGCATAACGTGTTTTGCTCCATTTCAACATTATCATTAAGTAATGAATAACGTGTATTTGTATCTTTCTTCAACTGGTAATTTCTTGTGTCTATATATCATTTTGCTTTCTGTATGTATTTATTTATAGCTACCACTCGTATCATTGGCATGAGTGCTACACTCGCCAATATATCTGAACTAACTGGTTTTTTAAGCGCAGAATTGTATGTCAACAACTTTCGTCCTGTCAAGTTGGTTGAATATGTAAAAGTCGGTGATCATGTGTACGAGATTACACCCAAGAAGTTTCCTACATCTAACTCTGAAGATAATGATATTTCTGATAGGATGACTCATCGTCGAATGGTAGACTTTCAGGTGTGTTTCCTATCATCCTATTATAAATGATGAGTTTGTTTTCACGTTTTTCGTGACTCTCACTCTCTCTCTCTGTGTGTGAGTTCATGTGATGAATTAGTGATGCATTCTGACAGAATATAGGGACTAACACTTTACTGATTTCCATAAAAGTATGAATGGGTATCAATCAATGTACAGTGCAATGTGGATTCACTTATGTTAGGCTGGTTACTGTTTCTTTTTACGGACTGTAGTGTGTAATATCGGCTAGAATGTGATAACCACCTCGTGTATTCAATCATCTATTTTGCTATTTGAACTACATGAAGCTGTGTTTTACAATTATATGCAAATTACCCTATGTAACAGTAAAAGCTACGACATGCTTATCAACACAGAAATGATGAAGATATTAAAGAATATGGTACCCGATTATCTTTCATTCTTTAAGATACTGTATTATGTGTGCGTCAACATGAGGATTGATGAAAAGATTTAAGTAGTCAGTAATGTTAAAAAGCCCATAGGGCGGCGTCTGCAGTTACAAAGTCGAACAGTGTTACTTACTCTGTGTCATATTATTATTGGCTAGGAAAAAGAAGTTATCCAAGTATACGGTCATAACTCACGGCCAGTATCACTGACTCAATACTACCACTCTATGATGGTAGCACCAAAGTGTCTTCTATCTACACTAACCTAATTATGTATTTAAGATTGTTCACTACGATAACCACATTCAAACGTTGGAATAATCCAAATATTTGTGAGAAGGTAGTCCAAAACTTGACTAGTTTAATGCGAGGATATTCACAACTTACTATATGTCAACAGATCTATCTGATACGGAAACTTCAGAAACTGACATAATGAAGATTCATGTGTGATAGCCAAATATAAATGAATTTTTTTGTTAAATATCTATGACTAAAGTTTTGTTCCATCTCAATACTTTAATGAGGTAATGAATGATGCATATTTTAGCAATCTAAACGTCTAATCACTGTCTAAATCATAGTGAAGACAGTCCTTTACTTCCCATTCTTATAGCCACCTCAGTTACTCTGTAATTTCAGGACAAAGAATTTAAGTTCGCCTGAATCATTTGGCTGACTGAATAAATTTACGACTAAGTGTATATTCCCCCATACGGTTTGCATAGTATATGAGTTACAGAGTAAGGTGAAGTAGTTCAGTTGCTTTTTATTGTCAACTTTGATAAATATTATTTCGGAGTGAGTTCGTCCACCATAAGTAATTACCAAATTCATCTGAATCACTAACTGGAGTTTCTTTGCTAGCCCCTTAACAAATTAAACCTTCAACAATATTTGCAATTTACAAGTTCTGCTTTCCTTTTTGAGCTTTATGACAATACACCGAATTTCGCAATTCTACAACGGCATGGGTATGATTTATTTATTTCTAGAATGCTGGTAATTTTCTCTAAGTACGCCAAAGCATAAGTCGTTGTTGTTTAGATTGCCTTAGTCTATTGTTTTACACCAGTAATACATTGTCTCAACGTTTCTAGTATTAAGATGGTGATGTTAGTGAAACGCTTTATACAGCCGATGAAAGAGTGAATTGTCCGGATTATGACTGGATGTGATAAACCATTTGGAAGTGAGGCTAGCCAAATGCAAATACACACGCACACACTTTGTATGCGACTATCACTAATGCTCTGTAAAGATGTCCAGTTCACTTTTGCCCACAGTGCTAACAAATGGAGTGCTTTTATCAAAACATTGTTTGGTTTTTTAAATTCAAATTGTTCTAACTGAAACAACATCCATTTTCTCTTCGCTAATTAAACATTTTGAGGCTGTTTGATTTGAATGAAATATTCACCACAAACTGATATCACAATCGCTACATTTCGGGACGACATATGTGTATCCAATGATGTATATTTGTTAACTCCACTCACTTTTCTGAAAAATACATTATAAACTTGGATTCTGCAGCCTCGAACACACAGTGACCCATTCACTTTCTCTTCTTGTGGAGTTGAAATATGTGGTACTTTCTAGTGATCTGTTCCAACCCATGCTGATCTCCGCTTACATAACTTGTTATGAATTACGAAGATACTATGTTTCATTCTACGTTGTGCGCACACACTGTTGTAGAATCTCCGGGCAGAAAAGCATACCTTTCTAGAACTACCTGGTTTATCAGTTTATCTTTGCGGTGAGTATTATTTTAAAATATGCAGCTTTCAAATGGACCCATTTATCTTTTATGTACCACTGTGTGTGCATCACTGGAAATAAAAATTCTAATTTGAACTTATAGCCAAAAAACCAAACTGAGAAGTGTTCCACGCATATACTGATGCTAGTTAGTCAATCCTGTTTTTCAAAAGAATGGATACTGAACTTCATTGGTTTTTATCAAAACCAATAATTATAGCAGATTTAAGTATCCTAGGAAGTCATTCTACCTGGATGACTATATTATGATTCAGGTATACTCTGTGTAGTACACCTTTCTGTGGGGAGAAACTGAGTTACAAGGCTGCTCAACAATGTAAATGCTTACATAATTTAAACCTAGTCAGATTGATACTACACACTATATACTAGTATTATATCACTCATTATATACTCTGCCTATGCTATACTACAGTAAAGGCAACCAGTGCTACACTCAACATTTGGAAGAAAATTCTGATTTTCAGCATCAACGTTAAAGGAATCAGTCCTTCAATAAAGGTCAAAACTTGACGCGTCAAGAAAAGGATTTCCCACAGCCGGCGGCAGATTTTTACCAACATCTTCCTTCACTCTATACTCAACCTAAGATGGTTAGAAAGAATTATAATAATTATATTATTGTTCCCTTGGGTTCCTAGTGGAACATAGGGCTTCAACTGCACGTCTCCACTTGCTTCTGCTGTACTTTTCACCTGCATCCATGTTAGTCCATACTGTTTCAACTCCTCTTTATACGACCTCCTCCACGTCACTCTTGGACGTCCCACCCGCCGCTTCCCTTTCGGGTTCCACTCAAGGGCCTGACGCATGATGTCAGCCAGCGGCCTCCTCAGCGAGCAACAAGAAACTCTGGGAACGAACCAATCAAGGATCTATTGCTCAACAAATACGTAGAAGAAAAGAGAGACGGGTCGGCCACACGCCGAGATCGCAGGAGCCAGGCCTTGACTGGAACCTGAATGTGAAACGACGAGTTGGGCGTCCGACGGTGACATGGATCAGATGAAAGCTTATGGGGAAACGTGGAGCTAGCTTAAGAGGACAACAGGGAGATGTGTTGTTAAAGCCCTATGTTCCACCCAGAACGCAAGGGGATAATAATAACTTTTCACTTTTGTGTATTATAGGGTGATTATTCGAAAACCCTATATCGGTAGCTTATTCTTATCTGGTACACAATATCAACAAATGGTTGGACGTGCTGGTCGAGCAGGTTTAGATACTGTCGGTGAAAGTATTACAATATTACAAACAAATGAACTAATACCATTCGCCCATATGTTATCTAGTATACCTCAACCATCATTGGATCCTAAGGATGTTGAGGTGAATAATCAGTCAGTGGGTTTGTGCAATAGTAGTTTGTTGTATGAGAATGGGAAGGGTTTACGACAACTTATACTCTCACCGATTGGTCTATTTTCTTATTTTTTGATTACAGCTTGATTCCACACTGTATTTTTGGTACATGTGTGGAATTTTCAGCATGGATATCGTTAGCCCAAATTTTGCAGGCCGACCATAGATATCAGGTGTGCGTCGGCAGGGGATTGAACCTCGGACCATGTGCATGGTCGGCGAGAGTCGTAACCACTGTGCCACCAACGCACTAACCATAGTAATCTGCACTTTTAACCTTGAATGACATTACCTCACTTTTAGACATTGTCTTCACTACACTACGATAGTAACTAGTTATAATCTCAATGCTGTCCAACCTACTTCCCTTAGAGTATTAAAATTCTGTTTGTAGTGCTGGTCTAAAGCAAAGCAAAAGTCATTATATCTTTTTTCTGTTTCTGGAAAATAACATTTATTAAAAATCAAACGCATTTGTCAAATAAAAATTTAGGATGAGATCAAATTACATCATTTTGAAAGACAAAATACTTCAAGGAAAAATATATAGAGATCAGTTATTTGAAGGAAAAAAAGTGAATTTTTGCGTCAAAAATTTCATTATCACTTTGGGTATTATGCAAATAAATCGTCATCTTCTTCCACACCTACATTAGAGGAACTGACGCCATGTCCATTGGCTGGGCTGATCACATTCTGAGGAAATGACTTAAACTTGAAGCAATTAGCGATTTGCGAAAGTAGACTTTTATTTTCAATTCCAGACAGCATTTCGCTTGCTTCTTGGAAAAGAGCATCAGCTCTCTCTGATACCAACATTTGAGCAGCTTGTATCATCTCTTTGGCCACACGTCTGGATAAAAATGGGGCCATACGACTGGTGAGATCAGAAACATTGGCACATGCAATATCTTTAAGAGTACAGTAGCCTAGACTGTACAACTGCCGGGCTCTAGCCTGATAACAAAAAAAGGATAAAAAATTAGTTGGAATGGTCCAACCATTAAGCGTCTCAAGTTTAAAAAAAATTGAATGACAAGTAATATAGTCACAGAGTATACACACCACGTAATTTTGTCCAATTCCGTGTTACTGTACGAGTTTAACTGTTGTCTGAAACTCGTGGATCATAATGTCAGACTGCAATCAGTCAAGTTACTGCAGAGTCAACTGAAGTGGTTTAACGCCGACTGGTTGAAGGTACTGAACAGAATACATTAAACCACTCTGGCTTAAAATCAAACACAATAATGCACATCTAATTATTTGTACTAGGTGGAAGTAAATCCATTTAGACGTTCATGTGGTTCACTTTTGTACTTGATAAACAAAGATTTTCTTTTGCTTATATAGTTGCACTGTGCTTGAATTGGGTGATAAAGAGAAGGTTTTGTTCTTCTCTAATCAACGATAAACTGTCATCCTCAAATGATGAGGACAATACACTTTATCTTTGTGTGTAGTGTAATTGATGAAGTGCTGTACTGATTTGTAGTTATTGTTCTTCGCTGTAATCAAAAATGGCAAAAGGTATGGATGAAATAATGCTGCCCAAGACAGGAATCCATCAAGTTATCTATATCAGAACAGAAAACGATTCCGCATAAAAAACACTTACAATGACTTCACTGCGACAAAAAAAAAGACACAACTTTCTTGTTACTTGGAATATTAAGTACACAAAATAATAAACCTACCCTCTTTACTCCTGGCAACTCCATTAATGGTAGTAATTCACTCGAAACACAATACGCCAGTTTTGTAGCGAATTCGGGGAGCAGATGCGCAAAAGCCCATAATTCTGAATCATTTGAAAATTCGCTAATTAATGCATGTGCCAATGAGTTAGCCATTGATGCAGCGGAACTCAGTAAGGACTGAAGAGCACCACGTGAAAGCTTATAACGTTCAGCTACAAACCATATTGGAAAATTTGAACTATTGTGCCATAAATCAGCAAGAGCTAGTGCTATATATAACCGACGAAGTGGTCGTTCATCTAGTTTCTGTAAGATGAAAAAAAACAGTGCAGTTTGAAAGTGGATGTTGTTACGTATCAAGGAACACTAGAAACTAAGGTACATTTAACACATGTGCCGGTAAATTGCTTTTGGTTGTGGTTCTTTCTTTTATTATAATTAACAAATAAAACGCTAATATGTACTAGGTTAAAGAGCAAGCAAACTTGCATACTGCACTTGAAAGGTAACTAAATATTCAAGAAACAGTTAAAACTAAGACAATTACGTATAAAATCAATGGTGCAAAAAGTAACAAATAAACCGACAAAAGAAATAGTGGAACATTCTCCTTAGCAAGTGAAACGAATATTCAACAGACGAACCAAGTATAAAGCCATATATTATAGCTAAGGAAAGTGTAGATGCGCATTTACTAATATGGTGAGTGATTTGGCGATTTTCGAATCGGACAAAAGATGAATGACCACAATATCAATGAAAGCTCTATCCGAAAGAACCCTAGGTGAAGAAGGGTGAAATCCCCTACTAAACACATACATAAGTGGTAAAGCGTCTCTCAACAAAGTATTCAATTTTTTCAATAAGATAAACTAATCTGGTTTGTACATTTGTATTCATCAAACTGAAAATTGAATTGATTTGATCACTAAGTCTCACAACAAACACTAGATTTGATATCACTACAATGTTCACTGCATAAATTAAGAATAAACAAAAAGATAGATTCGCTTTAAAGTGAACAATGTAAAAATTCAAACCAAAAGGTGAAAAAGAATACTTACTCGTTTTATGGGATATCCAGTTGCTTTCCATAGAATATAGCCTTCAGGAAATCCTAAAAGATTGACTAAATTGGTTTCGTTCTGTGGTATAAGATTGACACGATCAAAAAGAAGACTCCAATCAATTTGAATAGTATCTACAACTTCAGGTGGTGCAATTAAGTAGAGAAAATGTAAGGGGCCACTAGTATTGATCGCTCTGGCAGCTGCACGTAAATCTGACACCAAAGACCCAATACGATCTGTATCAATTCCACCTTTCACTGATGCTCTACCTAACTTCGTTGCCTTTCAAAAATTCAACAACAAAAATGAGAAAAAAACGCCAGTGTTCACATACTCAAACTGTTTTATATACCACACCAGTTTGTAAATATACCATGAAGTCATGTGAGGACTGTATGTGGATAACATAACAACATTTCCTATTTGGACACTTAAATATTAGCCTTGATAAATACACTAACTGTAGAAGGTTTTTAGTAATGCATGGTAGGATACATCGATTTTTGTACGTTGAAATTTGAACCATTCAAAGAGACTTAGTGATGTTCACATACGGACTGTCATTTGAAAGCATAACGCTCCTTTGACTGTAGTTGTGTTAATACTTAGGAGACTATATCATCCAAATTTTTGGATCTTGGGTGATATATTTTTACAACTGTATTTACCGCCAAAAACTAGCTGCAAAGTATATCAAAATCACATATGCCTGTGATGAGAAAAATTATTAAGTCAATATAGTAATCCTGAAACAATGCATTCACTGGCTCACACATATCAGGTAAGTGTCATAAGTGAGCCGAGCTAAACGCTGTGTAGCTAAATTAGTATTCTGCACTGTCTTCAAACTTCACGGTTAAAGGTGTTTATTTTTCAAGTGGAGGTATATTTCAATGCATCAGCATTTGCTAGTCTTGGAAACACCACCATCACTAACTGAATGCTATGAATACAATTTACACAGTAGAAATTGTAACAAATGATTATGCAAGTATAAATTGGGTGCCTTATTTTACAATCTATGTGGTAACTTTTATCATCAACGGTAAAGTGTGTAGTGTAGATGCACCGACTGAATGTGTTCGACGGTTGTTTCCCATAATAGCTTTGCATTTAAAGAAGGTTGTGTTTTTTTGCTTATTCAATACTCCAACTGATTATCAGGATAATAATCATTCATATTTAACTGCACTTAGTTGACAAATCATATATTGTCCGCGAGTAAATGGAAAGGGAAGAGATAAAGAGCGATACACAAATACACTTTATTAGATAGACTGCAACTGTCCACTCGGAAAAAATGCAGAGTCTTCTAAACACCTTGAGCTGCAACCTACGAATGTTTGGAATGCGATTCGCTCCCGCCAAATGCAAGATGATGTTACAGGACTGGACTACAGTGACGCCTAGTTTCAAAAAAGGAAGTGAAGTTGTAGAGCATGTTAACCGCTTCACTTATTTGGGAAGTACCATCAGCCAACGCCAACGGGTTGATCTCTGACTAAATCTCAGCTGAGTACGGATACAGGGGGCTCGTTTCGCATTTGCCAGTTTACGCAGTCCCTGATGTAGAGGAGATATCCGACTATCGACCAAAGAGCGGGTGTACTGCTCATCAGTCCGCTCCGTCCTCCTTTATGGTTGTGAGACCTGGCCACTGAGAGTAGAAGACATGAAAAGATTAGCTGTCTTTGATCATAGGTGCCTGCGTTCTATCTCCCGTGTGAAGTGGCATAATAAGGTGAGCAACATTGAGGTTAGGCGTCGAGTTCTAGGTAAGGAGGGGAAATCAATCGACGAAGTTGTGAAGTTACAAAGACTGAGATGGTTAGGACATGTGTTACGTATGCCAAGCCATCGCCTTCCTCGACGAGGAATGTTAACGGATATAGGGTCAGGCTGGAAAAGAGCTAGCGGAGGTCAATGAAAAACTTGGCACCAGTCAATGAAATCTACAACAGTTAGTCTAAGCCAGTCACGTAGGAAGGTGTAGACTTCCTGACCAGTTGAGATCCTCGGGACGGTAAAAACCAATGGTTGGAAACAATTGGTGACATGGCTCAAAATCGTTCTCAGTGGCGCAGATGCATCCACTCCTTGTGGTCTATGATTTTCAATGAAACTGTTTTGTTCTTCGTTATTACTCTTCCTTTGTCTCACACCCTGTTTACTGTCTCTATTATGCTTTTCTTGTACTTTCTTATCTTTCATTGTGTGCTACATGGAGTGTGGCGACTTGAACTGCCTCACATTTGTGCGAAGTTCCATGTTGAAAACAGACAGACAGACATTCATATTCAACATCAACTCCACTTTTTTTAATGTGTCATTTAATCACATCTAATTAAAACACAACACCTTATGTTCATTTCAAGATCTATAAACGCTCACTTAACTTAAGATATATTACCAAAGAAACCAGTTTAAGCATTAAAATTAGCTATTGAAATTATTCAGCTTAAACACTTGACACCGTTGTGGCTAATAGAATTATAGTTCAAGTATAGGATTTATGGGATAATAATCAGGATAATTATGATAACAAAACCACACAACTACTTACATAATCAAGATAGTCAGTGATGGCGGATGTACGAATAGATTGTATGTGTGTGTATGTGAAGGAGTAGAGGCGAAAAAAACCATTGTTTTAAAACGCATAGGATAATAAAGTATTTTATTTTATAATAAATTGCAAAACGAAAACTAAAATATTCAATTACTAAATTTGATAAAAACATACCTGGAATCGACTTTTCTCTAGCACAACATTTGTTTCTAAATCAGGTTTTGTCTTGTTTAAAAAGGCATCAGTTGGGACAATTACAACAAGTTCCATTTTAACTAGTGAATTTAATTCAAGACGAACTAGATCTTCAAAACTATCAGGTTGATATAAACGAGGTTGTGTAGCCAATAAAGTTTTTTCACATGACCAAAGAATATCTGCATACGTAACAGCTAGCTGTAGAATTAAATATTGTATGAAAGAGATTAGAATATAAATATATTCATCGGTAATTATTAAACAGAAACTGCCAACGATGTGATAATCCAATGAATTCGACTCTATCTCCCTACGTCTTAGAACAAGGTTGAATCCTCAAAGCAAGCTGGCTGGTTGAAAATGTTCTCAACCAATATTAAGGGTGTAGATAAGAATTGAAGTTTGGAAATTTTAATAGTTTTTACAATGTTTCATTACTTATTAAAATCTGAGTAAATACTTATGACGATTAAATCTCATAAACTAATGCACTAGCAATAGTAGATGAACACTGGGTAACACTATGCTTCTTACGCAGCCTGCTATTATTCCATTCACTATAGTAATATGAGGTGAATGTGCATAAATTGACTTCATTCAGTAGAGAGAACGAAAGGAGAACAACCATTTAGTATTACTGGGTAGTGTGAATAATCTTCACGACAATCCATTTAAAAAAAATATAAATACCATACCCAGTGATCAAAGCAAGTCACTAACAGTAGCATACCAGTTTCAATTCGTCAGTCCATAAAAAAACTCGCATAATACATTATTCAGTCTGAGATACCTCAAATATATCACAAGAAATAAAAAGACTCTGTCAATGTAAGTCTGGTGTTTGAACTCAAACAGCACAGTGGTGGAGTGTGTGACTGCAGTACTCGAAGATTGGAAAGATGATACTGCTCACTAAATAGTGACCAATGTTCATCTGGTTAGAATTCGTTAAGAAAATAAAAGTGAAACACTAGAAATCAATTCCAAATAAAAAGAAAAGGATTATTACGGTTAGTACTCACCTCTAGACCAATTAGTGAGAGTATAAGTTGTCGTAAACCCTTCCCATTCTCATACAACAAACTACTATTGCACAAACCCACTGACTGATTATTCACCTCAACATCCTTAGGATCCAATGATGGTTGAGGTATACTAGATAACATATGGGCGAATGGTATTAGTTCATTTGTTTGTAATATTGTAATACTTTCACCGACAGTATCTAAACCTGCTCGACCAGCACGTCCAACCATTTGTTGATATTGTGTACCAGATAAGAATAAGCTACCGATATAGGGTTTTCGAATAATCACCCTATAATACACAAAAGTGAAAGGTTGTTTAGAACCATTTCACTAACATGGCGTAGAAGTAAAATGAATAATGTTAATGTATGACACAATAAAGAGTATCGCAGAGATCCGAATAGGAGAAAGTAGGCGAATAATTACGTCATCGAGCAGAATCATAATTCATACTGTCTGTCTGTCTGTTTTCGACATAGAACTTTGCACAAATGTGCGGAAGTTCAAGTCGCCACATTCCGTGTAGCACGCGAAGCAAGAGAAGAAAGTACAAGAAAAGCATAATAGAAACAGTGAGCAGAGGTGTGAGACAAAGGAGTAATAAAGAAATACAAAACAGTTTCATTGAAGATCATAAGTCACAGGGAGTGGATGCATCTGCGCCACTGAGAACGATTTTGAGCCATGTCACCAATTGTTTCCAACCATAGATTTTTACCGTCCCGAGGACCCCAGCCTGGAAGTCTACACCTTCCTACGTGGCTTAGACCAACTGTTGTGGATTTCATTGACTGATGCCAAGTTTTTGTTTGACCGCCGCTAGCTTTTTTCCAGCCTGACCCTATATCCGCTAACATTGCTCGTCGAGGGAGGCGATGGCTTGGCATACGTAACACATGTCCTAACCATCTCAGTCTTTGTAGCTTCACGACTTCGTCGATTGATTTCCCCTGTTTACCTAGAACTCTACGCCTAACCTCCATGTTGCTCACCTTATTATGCCACTTTACACGGGAAATAGAACGCAGGCACCTATGATCAAAGACAGCTAGTCTTTTCATGTCTTCCACTCTCAGTGGCCAGGTCTCACAACCATAAAGGAGGACGGAGCGGACTGATGAGCAGTACACCCGCCCTTTGGTCGATAGTCGAACATCTCGTCTACGCCAGAGTCGGCGTAAACTAACAAATGCGAAACGAGCCCCTTGTATTCGTGCTGAGATTTCGTCAGAGATCAGCCCGTTGGGGCTGATGGTACTTCCCAAATAAGTGAAGCGGTCAACGTGCTCTACCACTTCACTTCCTATTTTTAAACTAGGCGTCGATGTAGTCCAGTCCTGTAACATCATCTTGCATTTGGCGGGAGCGAATCGCATGCCAAACATTCGTAGATTGCGGCTCAAGGTGTTTAGAAGACTCTGCATTTCGTCAGCGTCTTCGCCTAGAAGGACTATATCGTCTGCATATTCCAAGTCAACGAGATTATTCCCCGGTAGCAAGTCAATCCCTGAGTCGCTGAAGTCACCTAGGGTTAAGTCCATTAACACATCTATGATGAAGTTGAATAGAAAAGGAGATAATGGGCATCCTTGACGGACACCACTGGTCGTCATCAGTTCAGATGACAGCTCGCCGTAAGCCCTCACCTGGCTGTATGAGTACGAGTAGAGTGCCTTAATCAGTGCAATATATTTTCTTGGAATTCCCTTTACAGCCAAGCATCTCCAGAGAACTTCCCGATCGACAGAGTCGAATGCTGCCTTTAGGTCAAGAAATATAATGACTGTTGGACGCCGGTAGGAATGCCTATGTTCTAGAATCTGTCGGAGGGTGAAGATATGATCAATACACCCTCTTCCTGGTCTAAAGCCTGCCTGGCTCTCTCGTGTTTGTGCTTCCCGAGCACCACTCAGTCTACGCATGATTATTGAGCCTAAGACTTTAGATACTATATTAGTCAAGCTAATCCCTCTGTGATTATCACAGGAAGACTTGTCTCCCTTCTTGTATATGGGGATAATCAGTGACTTACACCAACCCGATGGGACTTCTTCTGATTCCCAGACGCTGCCTAGTACCTCAGTTAATCCGGACAGTAAGCTGTCTCCACCGTACTTAAATACCTCTGGAGTCATTCCATCAGGTCCCGCTGCTTTGCCTAGTTTCAGATTGGTGACAGCTTTAGTAACCTCAGTTAGTGACGGAGGACCTGTGTCTATATCCCATTCAGGGAGGTGTTGGATGCTCGGAAGGTTGAGCGTGGCTGTGGGCAAATTAAACTGCTCCTCATAATGCTCTTTCCAACGATCCAGTCGTCTATCCTGGAGCTAATTATAGTGCCATTTTTTTCCGAGATTGTCTCACTAATGATTTGTCTTCTCCCACCCGTTTCCCTGATGAGTCCAAAGAGTTGCCTGGTGTTGCCTATCCTCAAAGCTTTCTCCATCTCTTTGGCTTTTGTCGCCCACCACTGTTCACGGTCCTTGCGGAGACTTTTCGTAAGTTTCCTCTTGTGCAGCTTTCGCTCCTCATTGAATTCGGAGCTCGCCGGAATAAGTCTTCTAGCATCTATCAGTTCGGATGAGGCGGTGGAGATCCAGTGGTTTTTACTCACCTTTGGGTTTACCTTATTCACAGCTTTTACAGCTGTATCTATGGCTGCCTGGATATTTTTCCAAGCTTCTTCAGGGTGAGCACAGCTGTCGAACACAGATATGTGTTTAGCTAGTTCTTCCTGAAATACGGATTTAGTTTCCTGATCGAGCTGGGGACGTGATGGTTTTACCGCCAGCTGTTTCCTACGTCCGTTCAGTCGTAAGCACACCCGAGCGCGGACCAGTGCATGGTCGGTATCTACGCACGTGTTCCAGAAGGAGCGACAATCTCCTACCGACCCACGCCAACGATAGCTTATTGCTATGTGGTCTATTTGTGTCCAGCGTTGGTTTGATGAAGGGGGTCTCCAAGTCAAACAGTGTCTCTCCTTGTGTTTAAAGTTAGTGCTTACAAGAAACAAATGATTATCAGAGCAGAACTGTAGGAGACGGTCACCGTTGTCGGTTCGCTGGCACGGAACTCCATAGGTGCCACCGACATCCTTCTCAGATTGACACAATTTCCCTACTTGAGCGTTAAAGTCACCAGCTAGAACGACTATGTCTGAGCGTTTAGCCTTTCCACCAAACTAGACAGCTTTTGGTAGAACTCATCCTTCGTTTCATCTGAACTGCAGTCAGTGGGGGCGTAGGCGGAGATTACGAAAAGGCATCGGCGAGTAGTGCAGTCCTTCCTCCTTCTTACTGATCCGTTCAGGCGGACAGCACACATTCGGCTATCTACCGGGATCCAGTCAAGCAATGTCTTTTCTGCCCTAGTACTCAAAGCTATCCCTACGCCAGCTAATCCTCGTGAACTAGCTGTGGCATCTCCTGACACCCTCAAGGTGAATTTTGCAGATTCAACCTGTTGGCCAGGTGGGGTTAGGTGAATAACCACACTTGGGTCTTGTATGCGTGTTTCTGAAACACAGCATACATCAATGGCTCGTGATGCCAGGGTCTTGGCTAGTGATGCTTGTTGTCCTATTTGGCAAAGTGTCCTAACATTAAGAGCTCCTATATGAAATTGGTGGCGCGGCTTTAAGAGGCTGTCGGTGGTGGTTTTTTGGCTTCCATCGTTTTTAGTGGACGCAGAGTGGAGAGGAAGTGGAGAGCTATCAAGTCGAGGAGTTGCATCAGTGGAAGGAAGGCAAGATGATAGAGATGAAGATGAAGACAAAGATGAGTGAGTAATAGAGAGGTTTCGTGTGCATTTCGGATTGTGAGGGCGATTGTTACTTCCCGGCTGCCCACACCGTGGAAGTTGGTTGCGTGACCGCAGAGCCCAGGGGACAACTGCTTGAGGCCGGTCACACGCGGCCTGTTTTTGTTTGTTCTTTTTGTTTGGTGTGTCTCAGTAGCAGATTTATCACTCCCGCCCTGTGACACGGCAGCAGGAAGCGCGGTCGTTGTTAATCCGGGCCACGGCCGATCCGGCATGAAATTTTGTAATTTTGTATTGGACATGATGTTGGATTGGGTAGCTGCTTTTTGTTTAACCGCTATCCAAACAACCTGCCTGGCATGGTAGAACCTCAAGAGACATAAGTCTCAGCCAGTATAGCTTGATTAGGTCATTGCGGTGTTCAAGCCCGACCACCACGTCAAGGTAGCAGCTTTCGGTCGGGCATAATTCATACATTTCTATGCAGAGTGTATAACTTAAACAGAAAGTTGCTATTGCGTCAAGCTTCACACAATTGTCGGCTTTAGCGAAAACAGGGTAGAGAAACTAGTCTCAAGTTAAGAAAGTACCTTCGTATAGCATACAAACCAATTTAAAGAGAAATATAAATAAATTCAAATAAATTGGTGTGGAATCAATCACATTAGGAAATCGCTTCTTTTTGTTATATTTTTTCAGTTTCATAGGAAGATGAAGTAAATCCTGACTAAATGTGCTCGAGTTAGCAACCACCTAATTTCCGTGAACGACTCATAGATACACATCGCGTCTACAGTTCGAGACTCTAGAATCCTGGTTGATGAGACTGAGGTTCGTAGAAAACCAAATGAAGTTAGAAAATATACATCATTAAATGCATATATTTGGTGACATAACTCAACGCGCTTGTCATGTGATTTAATCTGATATCACTTTGTGGTGAATATTTTATTCATATCAACCAACTTCAAAATGTCTAATTAATGAACAAGGAATGAGTAACCGTTACGAATTTTATTTCAGTTAAGAAACTTTGAATTCAACTTTATGGGAGATATTTTTTGATAGAGAACCCGAAAAAAGAAACGAACCATTTATTGTTGAGCATGCAGTTGGGAATCACTTTTTATAAGTCATACAAATCTTAGTAGATACTATATTTTACTGAAGCGTTGTGAGACCTTTTATTAAGTTCTTTCTGTAACCCTGACGCGATTAAAGCACAGGCAATTGAAAGTTAATATGAAGTTGAGAAATGCATATCTTACGTACTAGAAGGACATAATACCTATGCGCGCTTACTATGACATTCTGATGACTAAGTGATGTAGGCACAACAAACTGACTAGATAAACTCAAGTCAATAAACACATCTAGTCCTAATGTTTTTACATGAAAATACCCAAGAATTTCAATGAGTAAAGACTGTTTTTCAACTTGGGATGAGGTCCAAGCATCTAAGATTAGAAAATGTTATGTGACTTGGAGACTGGTTTTATAAAACCAGAAATAGTGCCTTGAGGAGTTGGATAGTTAGTAAGAACTAAAGATATCCCAGGACATGAAGATATGTCAAATTTTTTGATGAGGTTGTGTTCTCTAAACTAGGCGACTTAATCGCGAAGCTGTCACTGTCATTCCGGATATCAATACAAAGATTAAAAAAACTCACTTCAAATTGAAGCAAGTACTGAAGATGTTCTCAAGAAGGACAAAGAAGGCTCAACAATTAAACCACCTAACTCAAATGAGACAACCACACACACACACTATATCAAAAAGTTAGTGATTGGATAATGCATAAGTCGTCGAAGACAATATAGAGGAAGGTTGATGATGGTCACAAGGAAGTGGGCGCTACCACAGTTCAAGTCGCCACACTCCATGTAGTACACAAAGGAAGAGAAAAAAGTAGACGAAATGCATAATAGAGACAGTAGACAGGGATATGGGACAAAAGGAATAGTAGTAACGAAGAATAATATAGTTTCATTGGGAATTATAAGTCAAAATGAGTGGATGCATCTGCGTTACTGAGAACGATTTCGGGCCATATCACTGATTGTTTCCAGCCATTGGTTTTTACCGTCCCGAGATGCGCCACTACAAGTACTAGAGTGGTTGAAACTTCACAGCTTTGGAAGCTGAAGTGTACACGTGAAAGCGTGACGGCTAAACTTCTCACACTTGACACTAAAACAGGGTGAATTAGCGAAAAATTAAAAAAATCATTAAACTGAGTGACAAGGATGCTACAGAAATTGTAGGATTTATACAGTTTTTAAGATTGACAAATTCTTAAACAAATCTGTTCAGCATTTTGAGTTAAATAGACATACATGCTTCTCTAGGTTAAAGTGTAATGTAACAATGATACATACTTAATTTGCTGATATAGTGAGATAAGTACAGCTAAGTAACTAATGTCATTAATTTACATATCCACGGTTGCTTGGAATTATCGACAGTAATAAACACGCAAAACAGGATGCAATAAACAACTTCTAACTCTTAGAGTAAGGAGGGACATTTTAATCAGAACATGATATATTATAATCTACCTTATCAAAATAGCTTGTAAAATTAAATTACCTTCTAGCTGGTAGGTTTACACCGGCAGCTAATGTGGACGTGCAACACAACACCCGGAGAACTCCTTCATTATATGCTGTTTCAAGTGCGTTTCTCTCTTCCTGTGTAAGTCCACTATGATGATAGGCTATTCCTTTTGGAACTGTAAACTCCAACACTGGACAACAAGCTTGAGGCTTTTCTTTTGGACCATCCCTATTATTGGCTTCAATTACATTATCAAGACGCAAATTTTCCAGTAATAGTGATCTCTGTTCAACAATATTTTTCTCTACTGTATAATCTTCATCATTTGAGTGAGGGAAACATGCTGAGTTTGGTAGAAGTTCTGCCAACATTCTGGCCGTATTCTCACAATGGACCTTAGTTGGACAAAATACTAGACAAGAAAATCTGTGTTTAGATGATCGATTAAATGATGAATGGAAAAGTCGGTTACTGCACCAATCATCCATTGAATGACCAAGCAGAGTTTCTGCAACAAGTGCAACTAGATGATCTGGATCTCGAGAAATCATCTTCTTTGTATACTGAAATGAGCAAATGAGAGGAAGACAGGTCGAATCTATTATTCAATAACACTGTCTACACCTAAATAAAATCAAACAACACAAATCTTCAAAGAAACCACCGAAATTAAATAATTTATATAATTCCACAAAAGACTAATCACATATACAGAAGAATTTTTAGGATTAAAACTCGTAGAAAGATGGAAGTTTATAAAATACAACTTGATAATAACTCTTAAAGGATAATCAGTTAGATCCACACTTCAGGGCAAATCCTTTTTTGGTAAGGTCTTGCAACTAGTACGACCTCTTATAACAAACATATCTTGAATAGAAAAGATTTGTAACTCAGGTGAATGATTTGCAATTGATAGTGTTCTCTGAGCTCCTTAGGTTTCACTTTATCCTAAATACTGCGCTGAAGATGTCGTTCAGAAATTCGATGAAAGCTCCGCAATTAAACCAAGGAGCTCAGAGAACACTACCAATTGCAAAACAAACATATCTGCATAGGCTCCTGAAGAAATAAACGTTTCAATGTGGTTATCGTAGTGAACAATCTTAAATACATAATTAGGTTAGTGTAGATAGAAGACACTTTGGTGCTACCATCATAGAGTGGTAGTATTGAGACAGTGATACTGGCCGTGAGTTATGACCGTATACTTGGATAACTTCTTTTTCCTAGCCAATAATAATATGACACAGAGTAAGTAACACTGTTCGACTTTGTAACTGCAGACGCCGCCCTATGGGCTTTTTAACATTACTGACTACTTAAATCTTTTCATCAATCCTCATGTTGACGCACACATAATACAGTATCTTAAAGAATGAAAGATAATCGGGTACCATATTCTTTAATATCTTCATCATTTCTGTGTTGATAAGCATGTCGTAGCTTTTACTGTTACATAGGGTAATTTGCATATAATTGTAAAACACAGCTTCATGTAGTTCAAATAGCAAAATAGATGATTGAATACACGAGGTGGTTATCACATTCTAGCCGATATTACACACTACAGTCCGTAAAAAGAAACAGTAACCAGCCTAACATAAGTGAATCCACATTGCACTGTACATTGATTGATACCCATTCATACTTTTATGGAAATCAGTAAAGTGTTAGTCCCTATATTCTGTCAGAATGCATCACTAATTCATCACATGAACTCACACAGAGAGAGAGAGAGTGAGAGTCACGAAAAACGTGAAAACAAACTCATCATTTATAATAGGATGATAGGAAACACACCTGAAAGTCTACCATTCGACGATGAGTCATCCTATCAGAAATATCATTATCTTCAGAGTTAGATGTAGGAAACTTCTTGGGTGTAATCTCGTACACATGATCACCGACTTTTACATATTCAACCAACTTGACAGGACGAAAGTTGTTGACATACAATTCTGCGCTTAAAAAACCAGTTAGTTCAGATATATTGGCGAGTGTAGCACTCATGCCAATGATACGAGTGGTAGCTATAAATAAATACATACAGAAAGCAAAATGATATATAGACACAAGAAATTACCAGTTGAAGAAAGATACAAATACACGTTATTCATTACTTAATGATAATGTTGAAATGGAGCAAAACACGTTATGCACAGACATTTGCGCGAGGGATCTTCACATTTTTCGACAGGCTCACACATATTTCGGTTATTCCACCACTTTGAGGTTGTGGAGTCAATCAAAACTCTTAGATCAGATGGCTCCCCACATAAAGTGACGAGTGGTGAACACCGTTACAATAAACTAGTCAAGTTTTGGACTACCTACTCAACCTCTGTCTTCACTTCATACAACACTGACAATTAGATACATTTCAAGTAAACAAATTTGTATCTTATGGTGAGTGAGTGTGTGTGTGTGTGTGTGTAAGCGCACGCATGTGATAAAATGAAATCGCTCACTGAAGTTAATTGCTTGACGTGAAACACTTATACACAATTCTCGCCCTATATGTTATCGAGTAGATAAGTCAGTACACTTTGATATGTCCACGTAAACAAGTCCAACACTGAAGCTAGACTCAACTTCAGAATTCTGTGTGACCGCCACAAGAAGACAGACGAATGGTTAACACTTCCTCATCATAAAATACTTCTTCTAATAATTCCTTCCATCTTCATTGAGGGAACTTGAAAATTATTGAAAGTTCTTGTAAATGACTGGGAAAGGTAGACCATAAAACAACGAGGAGACAAGAACCAGGAAAAAGACCTGTTGGAAATACCAGACTGAGACTAGTGTCCAGGGTGGACGGAGTCCAATCATAAAGAGAAAGAGATGCATGAGCATCAATCACCATCCTCAAACTAATTACGTCACACCACATAGACTACTCACTTGCAGCGAAAATCAGTAGTCATCTCCAATTGACGAGAAAACTGTTAGCTTTGCACACAGTCATTCAAATTCTAATCTTGCAGATTAACACAGAAACCAGGTCAATTTGTTCAGTATGGGTGGGGAGAAGAATTCGACGACCCTCACTCGTCTGCATTCTCAGACAGTACATTACTACTGAGATCACTACAGTTTCTAGCTAAACAGTCTCGTTAAGCCTTAAAAATATTTATTCACCACCTCAGTGAGTGTGTGTTTGCTACAATTAGGCATTAGAATAGTCACGTACTGAACAGCTCTTTCCCTGCAGTCATGAACTCATCAGTAGTGTGCATTCACAAACCCAGTGTGGGATGGAATCATCGACCATGGAAGAAGACTCATAGTGAATCGGTTACCACTCTCCATCAGTGGGTTGTAATTCAGTGCTCAATGATTTCCAACTAATACAATCAATTGATGTTAAGACGATAAAAGCATGCAATGCTATATTCTTCTTTCACATTTAAAAATGATTACGACATGTACCTAATGAATGATTTGCATATTTGTAAATACAAGAGCGCATATAGGACATACTGTATTCGAGGTGTTAGCTGGAAGTTTGGGTAAGGGTGACTTCTCAGTGCTTTGAACGCATAGCTGGTGAACTAATTTCTCGATGAATAAATCTTATCCTAGTTTAGCCGTATTGGTATTTGGAAGCAATTCTTAGGAACTTTGATGTTCACCACTTGAAAGCTGACTACACACAAATCCTGGTGGCTTTCCTGAAAAACTTATTGATTAGTATAGTAATGAAAAGTGTGACTGACATAAGCCTTCAGACAACGAGGAATTCACCTAAAATTAAAGATAAATGACAGAGTGATTAACAAATTCAGTGCATATTGGAGAATTCTACACTCTTATGTTTTAGTATTTATTTCCTCAATTTCGAAGTAAATACAGGAAATTAGTCCTCTAAGAAGAAACAAACACTTCTAACTTATCGTCGGTATTCAGTAGATTAGAATATACTATCAGTTTGGCAATAAGAAAACACATTGAAGTGTTTTTTGGGAGTTGTTAATACTGCTTTCCAATCGAAAGCTAGATGAAAGTAGATTAAACTGATGAACTAGGGTTTCATACCGAAATCGACTATACTTTTTATCCTAAGGGCCTTCTAATCACGAATTATTGATAGACATCTCAAATCTTGAAGTATTGGTTTCGTAGGATATTTTGTTTCATTGGTTGGAGGATTTCATCATGAGCTGACATCAGTTAGAGAACCATTGGAAAACCAACAAGGAGTACTGGACAGCTGTTTCGTCCTAGTTTGGAAACCCGATGGGTGCGTACTGATGAAGAGCCTCAAGCTAGGTCGAAACAATTGTCCAGTGCTTCCAGTTGGTTTTCGAATGGTTCACTAACTGTTGTCGGCTCATGATGACATCCTACAACATCTCAAATCCCTAAAATCCATAGTATCATAGTCTTCGTTATTTACCTGGTGACAAATACACTGAGCAGATCTTACCAAGTATTTATATATTAATAAGCATTTGAAAAAAATGCATAAGAAACCCAGGTAACAAAAAATAAACGTACGAGAAGCTAATCGCAATTTAGTCAGAACCATTTCCAGGCACGCGCCACGCGGTCCACCATCACCGACCATATGCAGCTAATGAATAAAGCAATTAATAACGTTTAAGCAACAGAAATTTTAAAAATTCAATGTTTGTTTTAAAACAGAAGATTCTAAGTGAAGCAGAATGGAGTCATTAGTGTATCTGAATACAACTCAGAAGTGTTTTCTGCACAGGAACAAAGAGTAATTTTCCCAGTAAGAGATTTTAGCCAAATCCGGATTTTACACACTGATGGTCGGTAGATAGTATACAGATAAGCACCCTCAGTATGCAGAATTGAATTTGAAATAGAACGTGTTATTTGATGAGTAGACTGGCCACATACCTGATATCTTTAACTTTTGTATGTAGTTTAAATACCCTAGTTCGACAAATCGCTCTGAGAATTCTAAATAAAAACATACAGACTCTTCTACACAAGATGTGATGCATATGATAGTGGTCAGGGAAATTCTATTTTCATTAAAGTAGAATTATTGCGAAACATAATAAATAGTAGGTAGTTTCAACGTATAATCCGGTAAAAGTAGTCCATTCAATTTCATGCAGTGAACGACCACATGAAAAGTGGAGATATCGGGGTCAGCTTTAAACAGGTAACTGGGATTTATGCTACGGATGAACCCAATGTTAGAATGAGCATGTGGTAGTTCTAGGACTAACAGTATAATCTCCAAAACTTCTGAAAGTCACCTCTAGTGAAAGTTCATAACCATACTATTAAAATAATCTTTAAAAGAATAAAATGAAAGCAATATATTTCGTCTTACCTCATCTACAATAACCAATCCCAAAGTGTCCAATGACTTTGTGTCAATCAAAGAGTTTACTATAGTATGCGACTTCTCAATAGTAGCCATAAGAACAGAATAAGATCCTTTGCGTTTTACTGGAGGGATTCGTCCGCGATTTCCGGCGTATTCCTCAACCCAGAAACCAAGTTCCAAACCCATTGGAGTGAGTGATCGAACCTAGGCGTAAAGGTAAATCAGACACTTCAAATATTTGCAGATATCCTGTAAAAAAATTGGCATACGTAAACACCAAACATAGTACTGTTTAAAGTTTTAACAAGAAACACTAGACACTTAAATCACACAAAAGACAAGCTAAAAATCACGACCATCCCAAATGAGGTTCAATTATTTTGAAATATATGATGTGTACAGCACATACAAAATCCCACCATTAGCAGACTTCAGTGTAGCACTGAGGATCGTCATGATAATTATTCCATAGTTCAGATTGTGATGTTTAAAAACTACACAGAAGCAATAACCAATAAGAAAAATAAAATAATAATAGAATAGAATGCACTAGCTGATTAAGATTGAAGGAGACACTGATTCTTAGTACTATCACCTAAAATCCCCAAAACCAAGTTATTTTTCCTTACACGCAACAAATGACTATGAGCTGCTGTTTTCTCCCATTTTTATCAACTGGTAGTCATATAAAGTCACCCTCACACTCAGGAAATTAAGAGGTTGGTGTAGATATGGACAACATACAACTGACTAGTTTGTGTCATTTAATCTTAGATAGTACACACTGTGATCTGAACACACTTCATTAAATGATCTCATCACATGCCAAGAGCTTCAGAGCTACTAGTGATCACATATTTACAACACCAGTATATGCATTCAGGTCGTGAGAAAGAAAAAAAAACAAGTTTTAGATTGCTATGAATCATAAAATCAGGATCAAAACACTTGTATTCAAACTAAATAGAATGATTACTAACGATATCAATTACTTGTAACTGACTAGTTGATTGTGTGATGAAATTACTTGCTTCATGCCTCAAAATTCATCTGTCTAATATATGTGTAAAACTTAGGCTCTGTAGTAGTAAGTAATTCCATATTAGTTTGTTTATTAGATGTATTACACAGTGAAACATCGACTGTTGAAAATTTTCAATAGTCGATGTTTAAAAAATCATATAATTCCAAAATATTTACGAATACGCACTCCAATTACTTCAGGGAAAATTTCATCAGCAGCTGGACATTTCAGTAGATTATGTCTAAGAGAAGAACTACATTGAATTACTGTGAAACTAAATAATATAGGAAATGAAATCGAAAAACTCAAATGTATGGTTAATGACAAAGATTATGCAATCGTTGTTGAAGCATCCGAAAAAGCTAGAGAATCAGCCTTAAGAAAATCAAAAACCACACAAACAAAAAAATTCAACAAACTAATGGAAGAAAACAACACAACAAATGAAATTGATGTCAACACTTCATCCTCTATCGACAGAACAAAATGGGTGATCAACCTCTTATCAAGAGAACTAAGCTCTAGTGAGATAAAAGTACTTGAGAAAGGAGTAAATCTCAACGTAACAGTTAATAAATTAAAACCAGAGGATGTTATTCCTAACATAGAAGTAGCACTAGGTTCAATAGACAAGACAACAGCAGAAGAGGTTAGAGCACAATGTGCGTTAACCCTAAAAAATCAAAAGAAGGCACGATCAGACTTAACAAAATCGGAAAGAGAAGCTTTAATTAGTCTAAAATAGGATTAAAATATTGTCATCGCAAAAGCTGACACAGGAAACGCCACCGTAGTTCTGAATAAATCTGACTATATCAAAAAAGTTACTGAACATATTCAGACGGGTCCATATGAAGAAATTAAGAAGCAATAAGGTTAAGAAATGTACAGTGAAACAGTATTATTTACTGGATGACGTTTCGAACAATTGGAAGCGGGAAGTCAGGAAGGGGAACTGTCAATGTTAGTTTGCAGTGTAAAAGGGAAAGAAGATGGGAAGTTAAACACTCGTGTTTAAAGGGAAACCCACACATTCAAACAGATATTTGGATTTCCGATCATGCCATCCTATGTCAGTAAAAATAGGATTGGGGAAATGTGACTGAGCACAAAAACTAAGTAGTACCAAGGAAAATCTAAGACAGGAAGTGATACATATAAGAGAAGCCTTGAAACTTAATAATTACCCTGATAAATTAGTCAGAAAGTATGTAGAGAAAAAGGTAAAAATAAAATAAATCATCATAGTAGTGATAGTGATGATAATAATAGTGATAATATTAATGACGACATGCAAGTGAAATGTGCGCAAGATAATGACAACACCAACAATAAGGAATCTAAATTATCAGTAGTAATTCCACACAAGGAAGGAACCTCGGAAACCTTACGCAGAATTCTTAAACAGGCAAGAATAAAAGTGGCTGGCATTAAAACCCACAGACTCAATTAGAAACAAGCTTTGTCGGTTAACGGATCCTGCGGAGGCTTTAAAACAAAACAATTTAGTCTGTCTAATACCCTGCAATGATTGTCAGGTCAAATACATAGGTCAAACTGGTAGAACAGGGGCAGTCAGACTAGCCGAACATAAAAACCTAGCAAAATATAGATTGGTTGACCCGAATAAGATAAAAAATCTAGAGAATAGTTCAGCTATAGCACTACATGCAGTTACACACAACCATACAATAGGATGGGATAGGATGACAGTTTTAAAATCTAATGTCACAGGGTGGAGGGAGAAAATGATAACAGAAGCTTTGTTTATCGAATCAACTGCGAATCAGCAAGTGTAATAGGAATGATCCAACACCTGTCCCAGTTATCTGGAAAATTCCACTACCCCTACGACAAATAGAAGAGGAGGACAAAGTAAACTATAAAACTCAAGTTTCGAAGTCGTGTGATTATAATTGATGGCATGATTATGAACAATAAATTTTGTTCGAAACGTCATCCAGTAATAATAATAATTTGCTTTATTCCAGTAACAGTACTAGTGGTACAGTGTGGAATTTTCAGCACAGTAAATAATACTGTTTCACTGTGTGATACATCTAATAAACAAACTAATATGGAATTCATCTAAGTTTGGAGAAAAAAATATTACAGCCTGTGAAATGACAGATGTATCAGTTTGATTTTGAAAGGAATATAAGTTAAATGTTTTAAAGAACATACCTTCTCTTGAACTATTGAGACAAATGGTAAAATAAAAAGTACACTTTTGCCATGAACTAGAAGTTCTTTGAGCATAAGAATTTCTGCGACCAATGTCTTGCCTCCACTTGTTGGCAGACTGTAAACAAGATTGGCACCGTTTGCTACAGCCGTCATACTCAAACACTCCTTTTGCCAATCTATTAAAAAAGAAGAATACCTGGAGTAAACTGAGTAACCATAAAGTGAGTAAGAATCTATACAAGAATTTCAGATTATTCAGCAGTTAACATGACCATTATTTACCCGTCATTAGGAAACAATTTCAAGGATATAGAAATACTGCTTCCAACAAAGGCTATCCCAAGGAAATTACATCAACAATTAGTATCCAATTAAATTTGTACAATTATTGCATAAAAGACCACAAGGTTAGTCAACGTCTAATTGCTATGCATCATCGTGGAGGAGCGTCTTTTAGAAATTGGGGTTAATAATACACAGGTTACTCTTACACTTAGAACCGAGCTAATAAATGTTAACAACACCTGGCAAAATGAAGGTTGATTTCACAACCTTAGACCTCTCGGCCACTCCACCATTTCACAACCATTATGTGAGCCCATGAATATATAAATTTGGTGAATTCGCAACAGAATTGGGATTACAGGAGTCAAAAAGCACAACTTGTATGATCCTTTACGGGAAAACAGAGAAAAAAGTATCTATCTGGACAATCATGAAGTTACTTGTTCAATGGAATTCAGGATATGCATTTCATCCTCAGCTTCGGTGTTTGTAGCAGTGGGTGCTGGTTCGTCTCATTGAGGAAACCTTTACTCAGTAGGAAGCAAAACATCCAGCTCACGAGCCCCAAACCAGAGGAAATGTGTGTCCTGGATCTTAACGCCAACCAAAACCAAACAATTAACTCCGACTTGTCGATCCTGATAATATAAGGGCATCCATTCAAGAAGCCCAAGTACCAAAACGAGTGTGATGGATTCACTTTAGATATTTTAGCAGGTATTATATACATGAATAAATAACTACTAAAATATTAACGAACACATCGCAGGACGCGGATTAAAATTTCAATCAGTCACCTTCTAATAAGGTAAAAAGAAGGAAAAAGTGTCATAAAAAAGAAAGTCAACCAAAATCCTCTAAGGTGTTTTTCTCCGACTGGAAGACTACTGAAATACTTGAAGTATGACAGTACTGGATTTAATGTACAACTTTGCACAAATGTGCAGCAGTTCGAATTGTCACACTCCATGTAGCACACACAAAACAAGAGAAGCGAGATTAAAAAGATAGATAATAAACAGATATATGAGGCAAACAAAATAGTAATACTGAAGAACAACAAAATTTTGTTGGATATTATAAAACACAAGGAGTGAATGAATCTGCGCCATTATAACGGTAGAGGATGAAGGACTTGGTAAAGGAATATTTACTTGAAAATTAGTATCTCTATATGGCCAAATTATGTATAACTTATATTCAACGAACCATTTGCATAGATGTTCGCGTTGTGTTACTTCTGGCCTTCATATTGTGTTTCTTTGTGTTCCTTTCACTTCCCCCATGTATCTCCATAGCGTTGTAACATTTGCCTTCTCTGATATCAGATGTGTGTCTCTACTATTTGATGTTTTTTTATGACGGTGAACGTCTATTTATTTTCAAGAACTGGCGAGGAATCATGCTTCTATCGACGCCAAGTAAAATCCTGAGTTGCATCATCCTGGAGAGATTAAAGGACGCACTGGAGACAGAACTCCGACCAAAACAAGCTGGATTCAGGAAAGGCAAATCATGTACTGACCAAATTGCAACTCTACGCATCATCGTCACAGAACAAAGCATGGAATGGCGATCAAACCTCTACCTCAACTTTATAGACTTCGAGAAGGCCTTCGACAGCGTTGATCGTGAAGTAATTTGGAAATTACTCGAGTACTACGGCGTACCCGAAATATTCATCAACCTTATTCAACAGCTGTACGACGACGGAACATGTCAAGTGATTCACAACGGAAAACTCAGCGAGGCATTTGGAGTAAACGTATCAGTGAGACAAGGGTGCTTATTATCTATCACCAATGATATTCCTAATTGTGGTGGACTGGATTATGCGTCAGACAGTGGGAAACGAGAAGACAGGAATATCCTGGACCGACGTGAAGAACCTAGAAGACCTGGATTTCGCGCGTGGATGATTTATATTTGATGTCACACACAATCGAAGACTTACAAGCGAAAACCGACAAAATGGTCGAAGAAGCAGCAAAGACAGGACTCCAGGTAAACATAGACAAGACGGAGGTTATGAAAATAACCAACCAACAACAGCAACAGCATCCAACGTCAATCACCATCAACAGAAGGGATTTGAAAGAGGTGACTTCATTCACTCACTGATCTAGGGAGCATTGTCTCAACTACAGGAAGTCGGAATGGACGAGGATGTCAAATCGAGCGAGAATCGGGAAGGCGAGAAACACATTCATCAACCTGAAATCAATCTTGGAATCTTCGTCACTCAGCATCACCAACAAAATTCGGATCTTCAATACAAACGTCAAGTCAGTTAGTTCTTCTATACGGATCAGAAACTTGGCGGGTCACAAAGAATATTTCCAAAAGGCTGCAAACCTTTATTAACAACTGTCTTCGCTGTATACTGAAGATCAGATGGCCGGAAAGAATCACCAACAACGAATTATGGGAACAAACAAAGCAAGAACCAATCGCCCAATAAATATGCAGGAGAAAATGGAGATGGATCGGACACTCGCTGAGGAGACCGCTGTCTGTCTGTCTGTTTTCGACATAGAACTTTGCACAAATGTGCGGAAGTTCAAGTCGCCACATTCCGTGTAGCACGCGAAGCAAGAGAAGAAAGTACAAGAAAAGCATAATAGAAACAGTGAGCAGAGGTGTGAGACAAAGGAGTAATAAAGAAATACAAAACAGTTTCATTGAAGATCATAAGTCACAGGGAGTGGATGCATCTGCGCCACTGAGAACGATTTTGAGCCATGTCACCAATTGTTTCCAACCTTAGATTTTTACCGTCCCGAGGACCCCAGCCTGGAAGTCTACACCTTTCTACGTGGCTTAGACCAACTGTTGTGGATTTCATTGATAGATGCCAAGTTTTTGTTTGACCACCGCTAGCTTTTTTCCAGCCTGACTCTATATCCGCTAACATTGCTCGTCGAGGGAGGCGATGGCTTGGCATACGTAACACATGTCCTAACCATCTCAGTCTTTGTAACTTCACAACTTCGTCGATTGATTTCCCCTCCTTACCTAGAACTCGACGCCTAACCTCAATATTACTCACCTTATTATGCCACTTCACACGGGAGATAGAACGCAGGCACCTATGATCAAGGACAGCTAGTCTTTTCATGTCTTCCACTCTCAGTGACCAGGTCTCACAACCATAAAGGAGGACGGAGCGGACTGATGAGCAGTACACCCGCTCTTTGGTCGATAGTCGGATATCTTCTCTACATCAGGGACTGCGTAAACTGGCAAATGCGGAACGAGCCCCTTGTATTCGTGCTGAGATTTCGTCAGAGATCAACCCGTTGGCGTTGGCTGATGGTACTTCCCAAATAAGTGAAGCGGTCAACGTGCTCTACCACTTCACTTCCTATTTTTAAACTAGGCGTCGATGTAGTCCAGTCCTGTAACATCATCTTGCATTTGGCGGGAGCGAATCGCATTCCAAACATTCGTAGATTGCGGCTCAAGGTGTTTAGAAGACTCTGCATTTCGTCAGCGTCTTCGCCTAGAAGGATTATATCGTCTGCATATTCCAAGTCAACGAGATTATTCCCCGGTAGCAAGTCAATCCCTGAATCGCTGAAGTCACCTAGGGTTAAGTCCATTAACACATCTATGATGAAGTTGAATAGAAAAGGAGATAATGGGCATCCTTGACGGACACCACTGGTCGTCATCAGTTCAGATGACAGCTCGCCGTAAGCCCTCACCTGGCTGTATGAGTACGAATAGAGTGCCTTAATCAGTGCAATATATTTTCTTGGAATTCCCTTTACAGCCAAGCATCTCCAGAGAACTTCCCGATCGACAGAGTCGAATGCTGCCTTTAGGTCAAGAAATATAATGACTGTTGGACGCCGGTAGGAATTCCTATGTTCTAGAATCTGTCGGAGGGTGAAGATATGATCAATACACCCTCTTCCTGGTCTAAAGCCTGCCTGGCTCTCTCGTGTTTGTGCTTCCCGAGCACCACTCAGTCTACGCATGATTATTGAGCCTAAGACTTTAGATACTATATTAGTCAAGCTAATCCCTCTGTGATTATCACAGGAAGACTTGTCTCCCTTCTTGTATATGGAGACCGCTGGGTGACATCGCGCGTCAGGCCATTGCTCGAGTGGAACCCGAAAGGGAAGCGGCGTGTGGGACGTCCAAGGGTGACATGGAGGAGATCGTGTGAAGAAGAGTTGAAAGAATATGGACTAACATGGATGCAGGTGAAAAGTACAGCAGCAGAAGACAGAAGAAAATGGAGACGTGCAGTTGAAGCCCTATGTTCCATTAGGAGCTCAAGGGAGCAATAATAATAATAATATTGATCGACATTCCATTATAACTTACAACATGCTTTGTCTGTCCATGAACTAAATACACAATGTATGACCTTTTTATCACACGACATTACAACCAATCAGAATCCAATCATGGTAAGATGTCTATCTTATTGGTTCATGTATATTAGTCATTTTCGTAAATACTTTTGTATTGTACACTTTTATACACACTTGTTCACACCTTTCGTACACTACGTACCCTTCCACTCACACACTTGTGTGACAGTCAGTTTCCTTTGTTGGAAAATACACATATCATTGTGAACGTGGTGGCCTTCTGATTTTGCCTTCTTCTCGTCAGGACAATTAACTACTCAGCAGTACATAACATCTCCGTAGGCTCTCACGCGACTGACTGCATGAGTTCGGGTGGAGTGAGTGTCTTGATCAGTGCAATGTTTTTTCTCGGAATTCCCTTCACAGACAAACATTGCCATAGTACCTCTCGGTCGACAGAAACGAATTCTGCTTTTAAATCAAGAAATATGACGACTGTTGGACGCTGGTAAGTATGTCTATGTCCCAGAATTTGTCAAAGCGTGAAGGTACGACCGATACACCCTCTTCCTGGTCCAAAACCTGCCTGATTCTCACGTGTTTGTTCCTCCCGAGCACCACTTAGTCTACGCATTATTATTGAAACTAGAACTTTAGATACCAGATTGGTTAAGTTAGTCCCTCTGTGATTATCACAGGAAGATCTATCTCTCTTCCTGTACATAGGAATAATCAATGACTTACACCAACCCGACATGACTTCCTCTGATTCCCAGACTCTGCCTAATACCCTAGTTAACTCAGACAATAAACTGTCTCCACCGTCCTTAAACAACCCTGGATTCATTCGATCAGGCCCCGCTGCTTGCTTCGTTTCAAACTAGTGACAGCTTTTGTAACCTCAGTTAGGCATGGAGAACCTGTATTTATATTCCATTGAGGGAGGTGTTGGATGCTGGCTAAGTTAAGCGTGGCTGCACGTCAGTTAAATTGCCCCTCAAAGTGTTCCTCCCGACATTCCAGTCATCTATCCTGAGAGCTAATTATGGTACCATTTTTCTCAGAGATTGTCTAGCTTATCATTCGCCTTTTGCCACCTGTTTTCCTGATAAGTCTGAATATAGTTGCAGATACGCCTTGCTGACGAGTGCCAACTAGCAGGAAACCTAGGTTCAAGGTCTCCTGCCGGTTGCCTCCAAGCATCTAAGTCTTAATAGTTATTTGGTTTTTCTTTCACCGATAGCCACCACTGTTCACGGTCTTTGTGAAAACTTCTTGTCATTTTGTGTTTGAGTAGCTTTCGCTCCTCATCATAGTCGGATCTCACCGGAATCAGTCCTTCGAGTCAATCAGTTCGGATGAGGTGGTAGAAATCCAATGGCTCTTATTAACTTTGGGTCTCAGGTTATTACCAGCTTTTAGAGCTGTGTCTACAGCTAACTGTATGTTGTGCCAGGCTTCTTCAGAAGGAGTCCTGCTGTCGACATGAGATACTCGTTTCACTATTTTCTCCTTAAATAGGGACTTAGAGTCTCGATCTATTTGGGGGCGTAACTGCTTCGCTGACAACAATTTTTTATGTCCGTTTAATCGTTAGCACGAATATGCGCGAACCAGGGTGTGACCGGACTCCACGCACGTTTTCCAGAAAGAGCGGCAGTCGTCTACTGACCCTCGCCAACGATACCCAATGGCTACGTGGTCTATCCGAGTCCAGCGTTGATTCGGTGATGGAGGTCGCCAGATTACGTAACGTCTCTCTTCATGCTTACAGTAAGTGGTGACTAGGAGAATATGATTATCTGAAAACGATCGATGTTGTCGGTTCGTTGGCTGTGAACTTCGTAGGTATCACCTATATACTTATCAGTCTGGCATAACTTCCCTACTTGGGCATTGAAATCTCCTGATAAAACAACTATACCTGAGTGTTTTGCTTTTTGCAGT